CAGGCTGGTTTCGAACTCCTGAGCTCAAACAATCCGCCCGCCTCGGCCTCCCAGAGAGCTAGGATTACAGGCGTGAGCCACCGCGCCCGGCCCCAATTTTAAAATTTTAAGACAGGATGTGGAATTCCTTGAGAGTCATAGACATATCTAGCCATGTTCCAAACCCGATTTTTTTCCTATTTGAAGTTATTGGGGGCAAATCAATATACACTTTTAAGGCACTGCCACGCGCAAGGCATGATAACAAAGTCAGATGTTAAGTGTTTCTCATTTCTATTGTCAATGTTGGGGCTCAGAAACTGATACCCCAAAACATGGAGCTTTGACATACTGAACTGAAGAAGCCTCCAGGTCTCTCTGACTTTCCCCCTCTACCACCCAAAGAAGTTGAAGTTCCTTTAATTGCCTAAGATCCGGACCCACAAACGAGAACAATTGTTTTTCCTTCCCTTCTCTATAAGACCAAGAACAGATCCTTTCACTGTGGAAGAGAACTACTCACAAATTAATCTCTGTTCCCAATCCATTCGTTCTCCCCAGAAATCCTTTATTGCCCCCCAAGAGAATCTCTCTTCTCCCACCTCCCATAACCTGTTTTGCCAAGATAGTATACAAGTTTCCAAATCCCCCTGTGGGAGGTGGGCAGTTACTCTGGGATTCTCCCCATCCACGTATTAAATAAATTCGTATGCCTTTTCTCCACTTAATCTGTCTTTTCTGAGTTGACTTCTCAGCGACCCTTCAGAGGGTGAAGGGGAAGTTTCCCCTGGCCCCCACACCATCATGCATTTTTAACCACTGAATAAATAAGAGAGTTTTGTCATATCCTTTAAATAGTACTATATTTACCAGAAAGCAAATCAGAATAATTAGAATGGCTTAACCTTACTTTAACACCCCCATCTAAATAAACTTTGAATAATCTTGTACCTCCTGTTACTTTTTAACTACAGACAGCAAGACAGTAATTTAACACCTGCTCTCGCTTTTCGCACTATTTCAAAAGAGAAAGCGCAGTGTTTATTTCACAAAATCATCTGCTTGTAACAATAAGACATCAGGTTCTTCCACTTTCCATCTGTGTTTGGAAATGGAGAATGGAAGCAGAGCTACAAGCAATTGGTACTCTTTTAGAAGCATGCTTTTCATAAATAAAATTAGAATTTTGATAAAGATCTGGCTAATCTCTTTGTTTATAGCCTAGACCGTAACTCAAGAATAGAAAGTACTTTTTCGGTTACAGGTATTCCCGTATGCATATGAAGATAAAATTTATGTTTATACCTTCAGGCAAACCGGCATCGTTTACAACCTAAAACCATAATGAGGCCAAAATGTGACATGAATCATCCTCCCAAAATAGTTCTTCTGGCATGAAAGAGACTGTCTTACAAACACAGACGCGGAAAAGGGCATTTCCGCCGTACTGTTGATGCCCGGGGCACTGCAGTGCAGCATCTCGGAGTGCTAAGCAGGGCTGTGCAGGAGGTATGTAAGATAAGCCACTAAGGTGCAGGAAGAAAAAACTGGAACTTTAATTTATATTAGTGGTTCATTGAATAGTCCAAAACTTCCAGTATAAGCTCTTTATCAAGAGAGAAAATCAATGATGGTATAGTCAGATCTGATAGGACGCAGTCAAAAAACATGGTGTGTACTGGCAAGACCACACAATTATCCGGTGAATGGAGAATTAATTTAACGGCATTCACCAAGAGAACCTTAACTACTTTATAAAATAGAGACAAAGCTTTTCGAAATTCAGCAATGTCATCAGAAACATTTATTTTTATCCTATAGCAAGCACTTTTAAGGCCAGTGGAATCACTCCTATATCTGGAAAATTGCTCTCCGCCTTCCAATTGGTCTCCTGGCTTCTGCCCTTACTTCCCTACAATGTATTTCCAACACGGCAGCCTTAACGATCTCCTGGAAACGCGAACAAGATGATGTCGGCTCTTTGCTCACACCCCCCAGTGGCTCCCATCTCACTCACAGTGCAAAGTCCTCGTGTGGCTACAGGGACCTGCCAGCGCATCTGCACCCCATCATCTCTCCCGTCATCCACCATCGCTCCCTTCACTGGGCTCCAGTCACACGACCTCCTCGCTCCTCACCCTCCCAGACACGTCCCATCCTAGGGGCTTAGCACTTGCTCTGTGTGCCTGTGTGCGTGTGCATGCATGTGTGCATGTTGAATCTTCCTCCCCCACGTGGCCACGTGATTCATTGGCTCACTTCCCCCAGGTAGTTACTCAGACGGCTCCCTCTCACTGTGCCTCACCTGGCTACCCCATCTAAAAATTGAAGACTCTTCCCCTAATTCTTAACATCCCTTTCCCTGCTTTATTTTTCTCCTTAGCATGTATGACCCCCTAACACGCTATGTTTCCTTTGTCCACTTTTATTTATCATCAGTCCTTCCCAGCTGTAACGTAAGCTCCTCGAGAGCAGGATTCTTGCCAGTGGTGTGCTCGGCCCCAGCCCAGTGCCCAGAGAGCTGGGAGGCACAGCCCCTACGCACTGCCACCCCTCAGCACCCTCCTTGCTCCGGCGGAGTCGGTGGATGTTCCACTGGCGTTAGCAGCAGCAGATGTCAGTGATGGAACTCCGCCCCAGCAAACATCGTCACTGGAGATCTCAGCTAATGCCAGCAGATGTCAATCATATTTCATCTAGTGAACTTGATAATTTCATGTTTTTTGACTGCGTCCTATCACACCTGACTGTACCATCACTGATTTTCTCCCTTGATAAAGAGCTTATCTTGGAAGTTTTGGACTATTCAATGAACCACTAATATAAATATAAATTAAAGTTCCAATTTTTTCTTCCTGCACCTTAGTGGATTATCTTACATACCTCCTGGGTGTACACATTCCCCTTTGAGAGAACACTAGATCATCCCATTCATTTGAGACTAAATACGCCCTACTTTCTACTTCTACTTATCTCTTCAAATGTTTATATCTTATCAAGTAGCTCTACATCCTTTACAGCTGGAACCACGTCATATATAGTACTACATAGTGATTAAAGGACAGACTCCAAAATCATGTGTTCAAATCTCAGCTCCAACTCTTACTAATTGTGTGACCTTTAGCAAGTTGCTTAACCTCTCTGAGCCTCAGTTTCCTCATCTGTAAAGTTGGGATGGTAAAAATACTTACTCATAGGGTTACTCTCGGCATTAAATTTACAAGTCAATACTTGTAAAGCACACAGAATACCTGGCACATGGTACATATAAGAATAAGAGATATATAGAAATAAGCTGTGTTTGTCATCACTTTATATTGCCTGATGCACACAGTTTAGTGTTTGGGCACAGGAGGCATTCAACAGATTTTTATGGATTGATTACATATCGTGACCAAAAGAGTGAGCCTGCCCCTTATTTCCTACCCTA